ATATTTATAAAATAAATTCTCCAAGTCAAAAAATAACTACAAAAAACATGTCAAATGACAAAAAAGTGACAAGTGACAACTGATACAAACATTAACGATCCGAATTCAGATTGTAATGTTCGTAGTACTTCTCGTGAATTTTTTTTTAAGTAAATTACTTTATTACGTCGTGTTAACATAACAGGTAGGTTAAATAGATAAGTAACAAATAGATTTTTTACGAAGTTTAGATTTCCCTCAACAACTTCTCATGAACGTTGTATTTCCAGTGTATAGTAATGTAATTACGTTCCCATAAAGCAACCTCGCCGAAAGGCTTGGCAACGTTATGTGCTAGCTGGGTAAGTTAGCAACACCATTAAAATTAAATTTTTTAAGAAACTGCTCATATATTTTTCATAAATTGGTAGGCTTGGCGACTACTATTTCCAATAAAAATAGCCTCCAAAATGGCTATGGCTTCAACTATGAAGGTTCGCAACCCCCTTAGGAATCTCACCTTTACAATCAACAGGTGTTGTTTGACAGATCGTTGGAGTGCCTAATATTGGAATATTTGCAATGTTAGGAATGTTAAACGTTAGGAATGATTGGAATGTCTAAAATAAGAAATGTTAGAAGCAATTATTCAAGAAAATCAATACCGTAAGTCAATCAGAACTTTCGTTCTAGAGTTATCGTGCCGGTATACATATGCACAGACGACCAGACAGATTTTTTTTTTGTATTTTCGGAAACGTGAAAAAAAGATTATAAAATGGGGTCATGAAATTTTTTTCGTCTGCACGAATGCAATACTGAGGCCCCATAGGAAGGGCCTCAGTAACACATATTTTTCGAATTTTCACACTACTTGGGCACATTAAAGTTATTTTAAGGGGTGGTCAAATGTCAAAACATAAATCTAAACCATTATGTATATTTATGTGCCTTTATGTCGATTTTCCATTTTGTTCAACTAGATATTAGAGTGTGAAGCGTTTTCTTTGAATTTTTAACCCCTCTGATGTCTTTTAAAATATTGTAGGGGGTGATCAAATGGCGATACATAATTTTAAACGTCTTTGGATCTTATTGTGTCTTTCTCATGATTGATCAAAAGTTTAAATTCGTCCCAGAACTCTTGTTTTTCTATAATTTACCCCTTAAAATTATTTTAACTTCGGGGGCCAGGTGCATTCGGCCTTATTTTTAATATTTAGCTGTGGTCAAAAAAGGATCCAGCACTCGTTGTTGGATCCAGCAGGCAGAATAATGTGTTGGATCCAGCTGGATTACTGGATGAAGGATTCAGCAATTGCAATCCCTAGAAATAATAATAAGTTGTTTAAAAAGGAAACAATAGAAGATACTCATTATTAAATAAAACTAATAGATTGATTAATTAAAAAGTAGACTTTGCAAAACATGAGCTAAAGTCCGAGTTTTATTTAAAATCAAAAACGAAACCTACATCCCAAACGAAAAATTCAAAAATAAGTTGTAAGAACTATATAGTAGATTCGTGATCGAGCCGGAGTAATAATCTGTCAAATTTCAGGTGTGGGTGCCTATATGATTATTTACGGGGTACATAAAATCATCATATAAAAATATATTTTTTGAATATGTATTATTGAGCAATATTTCGGTACGTCGGTACTTTACAAAATGCTTTTTGAGTTATTTGCAATGGTTATGTAATTGGTAGAGTTATCTGTTTGAGTAAATTAACAACAAGGTATACAGTGTGTCCGAAATTGGTGATGCATGTATTGCGAAGCCCACCTGTATTGAAGTTGCAGGCTTAATTGTACCAGAAATAGGCATTACAACTATTCTAGATTGAAATAGATGGGAAAAGGCCTTAAAGGGACAATAAGTATAGGAATATTAGAATTAGAATGATTTGTCCTTGGATTAATAAGGGATATTTAAAACATTAAAAGGGCCATTCGCACGGGTACCACATAAAAGTATTCGTTAACTAAGCTTTAGATAAATTTAACGTGAAGTTTATAATAAGATAGTTCGCACCAACAGCTTTTAATCAACGCTTTATTTAACGAATAAAATACTTGGCAACTATGAGATTTTCTTCTTTTTTTATCATGACCCACGTATAAGATTGCTTTTCAGATATTTAGATTTATGGTTTTTTGCTATAAATGATTTCTAAATAATTTTTTTTGTCTTTATTTATCGATTTTTCCGTTTCTATTGTATTTACCATAAAATATATTTACTAAACAACTGGTTTTTTGGTTATTTCAAGAGTTATTAGTAAGAAAAAAAGTTATAAAAAAATATTAAAAATTATATTTTTATTGAAGAATTATACAAATCTATTATCATGGGCTTCAAAGTAATCTATTAACTCATTTCTGAGGTTGATGGCAACATAATCATATAGGGGTGGTAGGTCAGGGTCTCTAAATTGTTCAAGAACTTGAAGAAAATTGATATCATTTTCAAAGTAGTACTTCTACATATATTACTCAAGGGTGCTTCTTGTTCTTTAATAGGATTCATTAAAAAAATCGAATAAACTCACAAAATGTATACCAATATTGTAGGATTTAATACAAACATATTATATGGAAATTTCCAATTATTCTCTATTTGCGATAATAATTCCAAAACAGCCTCTTTTGATAACCGAAATCTTAGAAAAAAGGTCTGTGGATCGAAACTATCAAAATATAAGCTTCTCGTATACACTCTTCGCGGTATTCCATTTAATATTAATTCAACAGCTTCCAATTTATCATCGTCATCATCCCTTAACAGTAAATCCATTTTAATTTGGACACGACACCAAATTTTAAAAAAATAATGGCTCTTTTCACGTAATTATCAATTTGACAAATCTGTCACATACTGTCAATTTTCTTTCGTTAAAATCTTAAACCTCAAATATTTACAATTTAGGTAAACTTATAATAACTACTACTTAACGAAAACAAAAATGACGGTGCGAATGAAAATGTCATTCAATGTCAATTTAACCTCAGCTTATCGCTTAACGAATAGTGGTGCGAATGGCCCTAAAACAATTGTTTTTATAAATTAACTACTTTGACTTTTTATAAAAACTATATCCGGTTTTTTTAATATTAAAAACATTGTCATGTGCTATGCTGGTTATCATATTATATTTTTATTTTTCAGTAATTTAGTGTGTGATATAGTGCTTGTTATGTTCAAAATATGCAGTTAGAAGATAATGAGACACATGTAATTACATGGTAATTCTAAATAAATTAAACTTGTTAAAAATGTGTTTTATTTTTCAACTAATTTTATTTTTCAGTTAAAACAAGTGACATTTTCCATTTTTCAACATGTATCTACAACAAAAATTCACTAAACTTATTGTTTGTTTAGTAGTTGTAAGTAAAAGTTGTCAAATAGGAAAATGTTACTTCAAATTGCTTCAAATATCTAAATTATTAAGCCCGCTAATTTTTAAATCGCTTTAATTAGTAGTGTTCTACTTTATCGACTGAAACTGACAGGTGTAGTTCAACCGTAAGCGCTTAGCACGCTACTGTCGAGGTCAAGCAAACTTGTTACCAACTATTTACATGGAATTCGACCCCCGTGGAGATACCATTTTTAAATTACGTGCACAAGGCAAAAAAATATTTTATTTGGACGAAACCTTGGTGAATGAAGGGTACACAGTTAGCAAAATATGGCAGGACACAAACATTCAGTCTCCACGACAGGGTTATTTGGAAGGATTATCTACAGGATTGAAGGTTCCTTCCGGTAAAAGATGACGTCTAATTATAACTCATATTGGAAGTGATGACGGGTTTTCAAAACGTGGTTCTTTAATATTTTAATCTAAAAAAACCGTTATATAACCATAGCACCCCGGCGGTGCTATAATTACAATGCTAATTGTACTAATGCTAATGTGCTAATAATTACAATTATTTAAGTTTAAAATAGTAATAAAAAAATAATACAAACAAATACCCCCTAATTTGCCAAACCGTGCGCTTATCAGAGTCTTAAAAGGGATTAAAATAAGGGTAGCCCATTAGGCATTCCAAACTGAATGTCTACCAGTGGGTTCTGACGGGTTATGATATGGCAAAATTATGGCAACCCTGTAGGCCTGGTGATTTGACAAGGTCAATGAAATAGATAGTTACATAGATTGATTATCCATATTTTTCAAAATAAACATAAGCTTATGCCTTGAAGTAAAAATGTAAGCAATTATATTTTTTTAAATATCTAAAGGCTAAAAATTTGTTTTAAAAGATATTTTTGCTAAACCGATTCAAATTAATAAATATTTGCCAGGCAATATGGCCGCTCGTAAACGACCAGCTTTAAGCAAACTATATAACTATATATGTATCATTGACCCTGTTAATGACAACATGACAACAGGGTTGCCATATCTAAACTGTCATTACCCACTGGTAGCCATTCGGACAGGTCGTTGGAATGCCTAATTGTTTATGTTCCACAAAACTGGGCGGCACAGGTAAAACCAAACCTTTTAACTGCCGGCTCTTTAAAATCACAAATTTTGTTTAAGCCACTTGTGCTGTAAAACTCCCATAAAATTTTGATCTATTACTCCGTCAATTGCGATTCTACTATAAATGAAATTCCTCGGATATTCCTAAAATTCCCAAAATTCCCAGTCACAGTTATTAAAGAGTTAAATATTTCTGTAATTATTCGCACCCTATAATAATTATATCTCTAGCTAATAGATACTTGGATCTCCTGGGTAGAATCTAATTTGACAAATTTATCCAAAAATCCAGTATACCCTGTCTTTACAACTTAGATGTTTTTACACATCAAAATTTGCAAAGTTTCAAAACAATATTTTTCTTTTTGTTTCCTGAAACTACCTGCATAATATTCCACAATTGGTTACAGTGGTTACAAAATTATATATTTTTATTTAAAAAAAATAAAAACAGGATGTTATCTATCTATGACTATATCTATAACTATATATAAGATTCGTTTTTTTTAAGTAGTAGTGTTTTGTGTTTTTAGCAGTCAACAGAACTCAACGATAAAACGGTAATATATTTTTCATTTTAAACGACTCACTAAGGGTAACCTTAAACAAAAGTTGTAGAGTTAAAAACAGTAGTTTCTAAACTTGAAATTGTTTGCAACCTTAAATAAGGAATATTTAGTAAAAAAACTATTATACAAATATATTTAACTTTACTTTTTAGGTGACAATGACCAGATACAGCTTCCAGTGCTATCAAATCGGTGCTAAAACTAGCCGAGTTTGCACTGAGTATAATTCTGGATTTTTGCCTCAGTCAAGACCAGATTATTTCTTCTTCAATGTAGGGAAAACTGAAGTGTATTGTGAATCTATTTATGGTACTGTTTTTGGCTGGATTGGAGCTATAAGTGGACGCACATTCCTACCAGGAGAATCAGGGACAGTATCTACATTAGGAAATTCATACTATGTTGCTGGACAGAAAGTTTACAATCGGTGAGTAAGGGTCCATATTTATTTTTATCAATTTTTTATTTTGCTCTATGTACCTATAGTAATTTCGAAACTACTAGCTTACCACTGGTTAAGTTTATGTTTTTTTGCTGATAGGTGTATCTCATGACACCAGACACATGTGCCGAATTACGTAACAAAAAAATTAGAGGCATTAATAATAATAATGTTTAAGTTTTCAACTTTTTCAATTGCTGAAACAAGTAACATTTTACCAAAGCATGTTTGAAACGAAAACAAAATATAGTTGGGAATCTGACGCATCGTAGAAAGCGTTTTAAAGATGCTCTATACAAGTCACGAACATCCAGCTAAAAACCATGAAATCATATGTAAAAGAACCTGCCGGATTTAAATTTTTTGTTCGCCCTTTGATCCGAAATTGCGAAATGTGTCAAAACATGACATTTTTGAAAAAACTGAAAATTTTCATTAAAATAATTTTTTTTTCAAACTAGAGCATAACTTTGTTACTATTAGAGAATTATTCTTTAAACGATTACTATCAAGTTGTAGTAATGTTTATCTTAACAAATTTAAAAAATAATTTTTAAAAGTTGACGTATTTTAAAGCCGTAATTGTTAAAATAGCAAAGTAATTTCGGGTATAAAAATTATTGAAAAATATGACTACAATATCCCCTCTCAAGACGTTCCGTTTTTGTACCGAGGGATGGGCGATATTAGGTCCTTCGTTCGCTGTTGGTGCAGTGTCCACCAGTGTATATTACACCAGTTACACCACCTTATTTACCCTAGTTTACTTCCTCCTTATTCCTTATATACAGTGGCGTAGCCAGCCTTGCGGGGCGTGGGGGGCAAACATTTAAAGGGGCGCTTTATGATTTTTTAGAACTGCTATTATTATTAGTAATATTAAAAATACGGTATTTTGTATTATAAAATGTATTAAAAAAAAACAAACAAATATAAGAATAATCGAGTTAAGACACATCATAATATTCTAAATAATAAAAAAAACATTTAAAAAAATACGGATAAGAAACACTGTCGCTTTCGTAAATAAAAATATATATAATAATAAATACTTTAGTTATACTTTATAATTCTAAATGCTTTTACAAAATAATTCTTCTTAAGAGCAAACATGACGGGCGCTTCTCTGCCAAAAATCAATTTTACATTTGAGGCAGTTAAAAAAAGTTGTAAAAAAAATGGTTCAGGCCAATCGTTCTAAAAATGAACCAAGAATGACGCTAAATTGCAAAAAACTTGTATTTTTAAAGAAAAACAACAAAAATTTCAACTTTTTAAAAAATTTAATTTTTTGGCTCTTTAGCGTCATTCTATAACAAATATCTTAACTATTTTCTAAATAACTTTTTTTTAAAAAGATTACCAATTTTAAACAGGACCAAAGATTAACATAGTTTTCATTCCGATACTAATTCTATTAAAACAATGATACCAGTGAATATGGCAACGCTGCTAGTCTATGAAGCCCGTGGTTAAAAGGGTAGCTGGTGTTTAGTTAAATTTGTTAATTCCTGTGTCGAAAAATAGGTAGTGTTTTTGAAGAGGTGCGAAATTATTGTGATCGTCTTAGTTTGTTGTTGAGGCGTTGTTAGGTTTTTGTTTAATTTAGTTTTTAGTTAATTTATAAAATGAAAAATTCTGGAAGGCAAATTTCTATTTTAATTGTTTGCTGCCAGAGTTAGTAAATCCTAGAGAAATACGACATGTGCCAATTAGGAAAAAGAGATTGTTAAGAATAAATACATGCGACAAAATTCAGGAGGTGATTTCTCGTATGAAATTAAGATGGGTCTTTCCTATAACAAAATTTCCTCAGCCCACCCCTTTTCGAGATATCACCCTTAAAAGGTGGTGACTAAAATTGAGTTTTTTTTGTTTCTAAAATTTCAGTAAAGCTAGAAACTTGAAATTCTGTAATCGCAAATAGCTTCAGAGAAAAAAAATTAACACCCTAATTTATCATTTTTTTTTTTTAATAAATTGAGTGGAAAACAGTATTTTTTTTCTAAGAAGCTATTGGTTTTGGGAAAAAAATTTAAAAATAGAAATTTTTTTTAAATAAAACAAGGATTTCAAATTACAAAATTATTTCATAAAACTTCATCTCGAAAAAAAGTTTTGATATGAAATAAAGTAAGGGTTGCTAATTTCACCCCCTCTAATATAACAGGAATATTGAAAAAATAACCGTCGTTAGTCCTTTGCGAGTGCACGAAAATTACAGAATTTCAAGTTTCTAGCTTTACTGAAATTTTAGAAAAAAAATAGAAACTCAATTTTAGTCACCACCTCTTAAGGATGATATCTCGGAAAGGGGTGGGCTGAGAAAATTTTGTTATAAGAAAGACCCATCTTAATTTCATACGAGCAATCACCTCCTGAAATTTGTCGCATGAATTTTTAAACACCCTGTATGTTGGTATATTAAGGTGAATGCAGCAGCCTTTATAATTTTGGCAAAATAAATTAGGTAATATTAACTAGATATGCCTATATTTTAAAATTTTAATTCCCGTCAGTTTTCGAGAAAAAAAAAATCAAATATGATAATGAAAATAAATGCATTCCTCAACAGCACTATTCTTAATATAATCCCGAAATTTAAACTCTTAATGTCTTGGTAATGATTTTTTAAAATTCGCCAAAATTAGTTTCTAAAACGCCTCGTTAAGTGCTGCCTTCTGGTGTAACGCGCTTGTAACTATCGTATCGTACACTCTGTCATTATTCGTTTCTTGCAACAATTTACACCAGTTTACACCAGAAGATAGACGAGGCGTTTTAGCCACTAATTTTGGCGAATTTTAAGAAATCATTAACAAGACATTAGGAGCTTAAATTTGAGGATTATATTAAGAATAGTGCTGTCAAGGAATGCATTTATTTTTATTATGATATTTCAAAATTAAAGCCATTTTAGTTTTTTTCGGAAACTGCAAGGAATTAAAACAATAAAATATATGTATATTCTAGATATTATTGCCTAATTTATTTTGCCAAAATTTAAATATTTTGAGATATTCTTGTCCAAAAATTATAAAGGGTATGATCACCTTAAGATTGAAAGAGAATTAGCTTTAATTCATGAGATGCACAGCATCATAATTGTCGCGTCACAGAAACCACCTGCTGCCAAGAGAAAATTTTGATTCAACAGTATTGTATATTTTGTGTTGTAAAAGAGAAAAAATTAACATTTCGTATTTTAATAGTTATTTTTTTAATTTATTAATCTATGTGAAAAAAAAAATTTTATACAGACATCAAAAAATTGTTATATTAATATACTTATTTAATTATACTTATATTTGTTGTTCCTTTAATACAATAGATACAATTTACCTATCTCCAATTCATCACTTTGCGTATCCATATACCTAGGGTCCGATTACAATTAGAAGAACACCGCTACGTCGCACACAGGGGCAAAAAGCATCAAAACTTACCAACAATTCTGGACAGCATTAAATCTTATACTTTTGTATTCTGTCATGTGTTTAAAGTGTAAATATAAGAAACTAATATCAACAGAGATATTATTGACACTATACATTATATACACTATACATTATAACTGACACCTTTTGAAGTAGATACAGGCTATTCCTTAAAAAGTTGTGAGAAACTCAAGTAGTAAAATAGCTTAGTAGGAGTAGGTATTAGTAGATATATTAATCACTATCTTTTATAATAAAATTATCCCTTCTGAAATTACATTATTTGTTGAAGACAAATTAAGTTCAAGAGTGGAAACAGAAAGAAAAAATAAAACACAACAGAATATTTTGCTACAGAACACACTTCAAACATTATCAAAATACTAAATTAACATTTTTTTTAAATTAAAAGGCTTTTATATTAATATATCGGTGGTTTGACAATGTATTAACTGAAAATATAGACAATAAACTAAGATCTATAGCCCAATGGAACAATAATTATTTAAAACTAATATTTAATCAAATTACAATCCAAAGAGTTATCACTATCAGAAACATGACTAATTTGGTCATCAACTTCTGGTGGTAGAAGCATGGATAAACGCTAGAAAAATTATTTCTCTTTAATTTTTGAGTTTTTCTAATAGCAGTAATAACAGGATCCGAAGAGAGAAGAAGCCCCTTAAAACATCTTCTCGATATTTTTTAAAATCTTTGTTTCTACTTTCTGCAGCCTCTTCTAGATGCTGGCCAACTGGAAGAAGTACGAAACGAATAATTTCTGCACCTTGATTTAAAATTAAGTGAACTGTTGGCGTCATATAATATCAAGAATATTTATCTATCTATGAGTAATTGTGCTGTTTTCAAGCAATACATGTTAAATAATGATAAATGGTAATTACTGTTTTATCCAGAGAAGCCATCAGAACCCCATTTGCAAATCAACAATACTTTCTTTAGTATTTTTCGATTAAATCTACCCAACATTTCTTTTTGTAATAACAATATTCTCTTGGTAGTGTTGTGAAGTAGGGATTAAAGTTCAACGTCTACACAAATGGAACTAAATTTTATATTATTGTATAAGTTAAGAGGCTTGCACTTTACCAGATTTTCTGAGCTCCATTTGAGCCACATAACAGATAACCTCGACCGAATTCTCCTTGCGCATATCAACAGTTTTCGCAACTAAATGAAATATCACTCAAAGGGCGTTCAATTTTTAATTGATCTAAAGCGCGTGTTTAGTTGGTAAATACCACTTTGGTATCTAGCCAGGTTTTTATTTGTTTTAGCAAAAACTGACGTAACTCTGCAAGCTTTTGGCCATTTTGTTTTAAAATCAAAAATAAATTTTGAAATTTGGTTTGAAATAATTTGGAACTTGTCAATTGGGCAATTTGTTAAATTTCTTATGTATTCTTTATATGTACATTGTCGGTTTTGTTTTCTTGAAGGGCATCTTTTAATCTTTTCCCACAGATCTCTTCAACTAATTTCTAAGTTCAAATAATCTAAAACAACACAACCATAGAGAGCAAA